GCAAACTTTCTTTTCCTAATTTTTACATTTTGTTATCATTGCAGCAAGATGTGGACAAGTCACRTGATCTTGGATATGGTCAAATTTTATTTTCATTGATGTATATGCCGCTCACCAGAAGGCTCACAATTGTCATATTCAAAGCACGAGATCTCAAGTGTTGTACGGATGGTTTTCCAGGTAAAAATGATGATTACATTCAGTTGCATGGTTCTTTGCTATGGATTTAAAGCTGGGTTTTTACTCGGAATCGCATKTAAACATTGGCATCAAACGGAAAATSGTTCATCATCACAAGCTCAGTGCTCTTATCAACCTCGTACCCAGGGCTTAGCGAGGAAGAGAAAGCCCTGGGTACGAGGTTGTGCTCTTATGACAATCTGAATAGCAATTGACATCGGAGCCGATCTAAAAAMTGGTGGTGTGTTTTACTATTCTTCGTTTTGTTTATCTTTACAGCTGTTTATGTTGAAGTAGTCATGATAAATACCCTGAAAAGAATACGAAAGAGAAAAGCAACAACGGTTAAAACAGGATCATTATCACCCGTTTACAACGAAGCAATGGCTTTTGATGTTGCGAACATGAGCTTAGATGACATTAAACTACAAATATTTGTAAAACARAAGATCGATGGTGCACCGCACAAACTGATGGGAAGAACGGCACTGGGTTCTARTGTTGATGGATATTTAAATGAACAYTGGCAGGAAGCAATGGCGGCCAAGAAACCCATTGCTAAGTGGCATAGTTTAAGTAAATCTCTCATTTCGCCTTCTAAGCAGCGGAAATCYAAAGTACCTTATGCGTCGTGCACCAGGACTGTTGAAAGATTTCTTGCAACATCTTCATCAGAAAATGAAGGGTGAAGATGTCGACAGCTTTCAGTGGCTTTGACGGGAAAGTTTGTCGTGGTGGCAATATAGTAGCAATAWCGTATAGGGGGATTTCAGTAGGTTGGTTTTCGTGTTGTACGATGAGCAGAGCAAGTTCGCTTTTCGACTGTACAATAATGTGATGACTCGTGAAATTAATACGTCATCCAAGTGGGAAATTCGCCATTTCTCAACTATTTGTGGCCGGCGAATGCTCAGCCATTTTTGCARTTCCTGCCCCATTTCATGAATAACAATCTTGTCATGAAACTGACAATAAACTTATTGGATGCTTTTGAGCTTGAGAATATCASTAAAAACGGTACACAATTAATTCCTCAACACGAAATCCTCTTTTTCTCATCATCAAGACAATTTTGGGGCAATATATGGGATTGCATTTGACTTTTTCACTAAATAATGAAGAGAAACCGCGAAAATGTAAGAACTGTTCCAAGTGTTCCAGGTCAATCGCAGGGAATTTATTCTCAAAAGCTTAATTTATTTTTCTATGCTAGCATGCTCTTATATTTTAGATAGAGGCGACGATGGGTTAATTTATTGGATTTTTCGATCTAAAGTATTTTTTAATGCAATAACTATTGTTGGCAGTTTCTCTTGATATTTGCATCGTTTTCGTGGGTTGGGCCTCGTATCGCTTCCTCTCATTTCACAAATGAAGAGAATTACGTAGCGAAGCTGTGATAACATTTCATATCTGAAGATCCACAATCTTTTTCAAAACTTGAGTTTTAATTTTGTATGCCGCTATATAATTTCARAAATGGTTGACCGCAGATAGAACTGGCGATTGTTGAACGATTATTGCACGAGCGAAGGACCTATACGTAGTGTAAACCCGTAATGGTTATTTGAAATTATACGTCCTTGATATTAAACAAGAACAATCACTTATAGGATTTACTTTCGGTGGTGACATCGTTCAACGAATGCCAATCGCCGCTTTGATTTTTTAAGGTCTGTTTCAGTAAAATGTACTATTTATTTCTGTCATACAATTATCTATGAAATACCTATATTTCTTCATTTCATAAAGTTGATACTTTAACTAGTGAAAATAACACATTCGAGCAAGAAAAAAGGTATATTTTAGACATAATTTGCTTTCATATTTAATTATATGAAAGCCAGAATATTACATGGTCGCTTGGAGATACGAATTTCCGCGCGCGTAATAATATGTAATAATATCCTCTATGCGCAACCATCGGAAATTATTCTGGTGTCACATATGAGTAGCAAAATGCAGGAAACATAAATAGACTCGGCAGATGTCGACCAAAGAAGAACTCAGATGAAAACTTTATGTACAGATTCRCAAGAATCACTAGACTGAACAATATAATAATTGATATTTCTATAATCTTCGGGCTGAAAGACAAGTTGTCAGGTGATGAATAAGATAATAAACGTTCAGTATGGGTTGAACGAGGCTTAGTCGTTTGATCAGAACACAGTACTATACCATGCACGCCTCGCTCACCTTCCGCATTTACAGGAGTTTCAGAAAACGTTGAATACTGAAAAAGTGTACAGGACCGCAATGCATTGTTGGTCGTTCTATCGCCGTTGAAAAGGAGTTTTCGTGGTTTCAGGGAAAGTATACCAGCTCCGTGTTCAGTCAAGAGCTTCAATGAAAAGCAATTTGCAAAAAAAAAAGCAAAGTTGAAAATTGTCATTTTGTAACGTCGCCGTAACATGGAGTTTAACTACAACAATGCATTGCGGTCTTGGAACGCATTCATGCAGCATATATTCAGTATTCAACATTTTCTAAAATGGCTGTATATAGGTGAAGGAATTTTTCTATTTCCTTCCGCATTGACAAATTTCACGGCCACTAGATGGGTGTGAGCTGAGCTTCAACTAAAATCATTCCCCTTTCGTATTTAATATAAAAGTATTAGCGATGTGGGTTTATTTTTATTTTATTGTGCTTTTTTTTCTCTTTTATGCATCAGCAGTAAATTGAAACCATAGCCACAGCCAACCCTCAAGGAATATTGGCAGGGGCTGGATAGTGGATCATTTCTTGTTAACCGTAATTTCCTCTCCTTTTAATTGATCGTTAAGAAAGAGTAGAAAGAGTAAATGGACCGATTGTAAAGTGTTAATAGTTCCCGGCCATCAGTTCCGGGTTTCAATTGATTGGAGCATTATTCTTGCATTTCACGCTGAAAAATGTTTGCTTCTTTGTTTTGTTTTGTTTGTATGTTTGTTGTTGTTTTGACTCTGATCCCGACAATGAGGACTGATTGGAATTTCCATCCGCGTAATTGATTCCAGTAGACCAAGATGCCTACCAATCTACCAAGATGGCGCACATTGACGGTATGATTAGACCACTGGACCTCCTACTGAATAATTAAGTGATTTTTAGAAAGTGATGGCCTCTTCTGGCCCTGGTGAAGAGTTATTTTTACTCCGGCTGATGCTGCACCCTTCAAATACCAGAGAACTGATTTCTGTTTCATATGATCAGTTGAATTCCTACTGAGTACACAGAACTACACCATTCATCAGTTCACCTATTCTGCAAAATGAGTAAGTTTAKCTATATTAATCTTAACTGACGATTTGAATTTGCTTTGATTGGCTTCTATAATCTACAATTTTATAATTTCTGGCAATAACTCTAGATGTTTATATATTGAATCAAGATATATACAACTAAACGCATCTAACAAAAGTTATATTTCTGATTCTTTTTTCGCTTTGCGATGTTTTTCTTTATTGAACTTAGCCTCCTAAAATTTCTTCCTGCCCATTAATTGTCGTTGACTGGTATAAGTTGGACCTAAGGGGAAAGATTATTCCTCAGTCTATGTAAACGGGATAAAAATACTCAAAGGTGATTTTCAATCAATGAAACCTGAATCGAAGCTGAAAGGTACCTTATGAAAATGAAATCATAAACTATACGAAAACAACTTAATTATACGACTGCAGCTGTGGTTATTTACTGTAGACGGTTTACTGTTTTTACTTATCTTTTTTTAAGATTTATTTATTTTGCTAAACTACTGGAGACTGCGTCAATCGATATAAACTCCATTCGTTCAATTAAAAAAAGAATATCGAAAAAATAATTCATCGGAACGATCAGAACCAGAAATATGGCAGTTGTAGGATTATTTTTAGATGTAAATTCCACAGACATGAGCTGACACTGATTGAGTTCCAAGCGGTTTCCCGGAAATTTCAATTTTAACCTCTGTCTAGACTATTTGTCATTTAAATATAATTTAAACATAAAAGATAATGAACCATATTTGGACAAGTCACTTTTAAGTACTGGTAATACCCCGAGTAAGAACTAGGGAAGCAAACGGCAAAGGAATGCAAGAAGGTGCTAATTGTGCATTGTATAATAATCCATTCATCCCATTGGTTAAAACATGAAAATCTGATATAATTTCACAAGTTAGCAAATTTTCTAATATTTTGTTTAATGTCTGAATTCGCTTTCATGAAAGCTTTCTTAGCTTCAATATTAAGGCAATTCTATGTGGGGAACATAATAAATAAATAATCTTTTACTTTGAGAGGGTAGCACGTAATAGTTCTAGACTAATAAACTTGTGGCCCTCTATATATTCACTCACACTCACTACCTCAACATTCATTATTTTACCACACGACACTCCTCACAGCTAGTTTTTGACTGAGGGAGGAAAACCAGCGGACCTGGAGAAAAACCCTCGGAGCAAGGAAGAGAACCAGCCTACAAACTCAAATCACATATAGTCCCGGACCAGGAATCGAACCAGGACCACAGCGGTGATAGACCGGCGTTTTAACCGCTCGGCCATCCTTGCTCCCCGACATTGCAAATTTGAAGCATCTTTTGGCTATTGTTTTGAGTGCTTATGATTGGATAAGAGCTTTTAATACAAAAGAAACTTTGTTTCAAAATAGAGTTTATCCACATTCTATTTCAACTAGACGCATAGCTGCGTGAACTCGGGGTTCTGCTTGAATATATCATAAAACGATGAAGTGACAACAATGAGTGTTGTAGTCGAAGAATTGAGAAGAATTGGACTATATTGAACCTTAATAAAGTTAATAGTCATACTATCAAAAGGCGTAAAGCAAAAAATACTTCCTGGAATAAAAATAAAAAAACAGTGTACTCAGCATAAATATCATGAAAAAATTGATCATCAGCAAGCCGGTCTTTGATAGTCACATGACAGGCTGTAAACACAGAGTCTTTTATCTTCTCCGCTCTTCCATTCGTCGGCTTTTCCTCAGAAGAATCTGTTCGCATTCCTTAGACGAGACCTTAGTAGTTTCAGAGCCTGCATAAGTTCGTATACAGTTCGCTTGTGCTAAGATAGGTGCTTGTTTGATAGACAATTCTCGATAGACTCGATCTCGATAGACAGTAAGATAAATTCTCGATAAATTTACGTTATCTTCTGAAATTCCTTTTTCGGAAAAACGCTGGTCATATTTTAGTGTGGCTATGCCATGAAAGTGTGGATATTTTTAAGTGATTTGAGCGTATTTGTAGACGTTGAATTTCTGTCTTCTTCCACCTCGCGTATTACAGTCTCGCCGACTATTTGCACATGAAGTCATCAGTCGAAAAAAATTCTAAAATCACAGACACACAACATTAAAGTACTAAAATACCTTGAAGAGCATAATAGAAGTTCTCTCTGAAGTTTCAACTATTTTTGCTGTTTATTCGTTGAGTTATTAACGTTCAAAAATATGTCACGCAATACTGTCAAGCTACTTGAAACACGCCAAATTAAACTCGGAAAGCCTATAAATCTTAAAACAACTATAGTCTCAGCATTAAATTAAATTTTTAGAATGATATTGTTAGAAAACTGAAGCAAAATCATTACTTTTGAGCTTATTTCGACACTCGGAGTTACTGTCCGCGTGGTTGTGTACTGGATAGTACACCATCAGGGCTTTCCCATACATTCCCTTGTAAAGTAAGACCATATTCAAACGCTTATATTTTTGCTAAATAATCGCAGTTTGACTTCAAACTTTGCATAATTGTTGGGAATTATATGCTGTTTTGGCCATGAACATGAAAAATTCATTTAGATCTTAAAACACAGCCTTTTGTAGTTATTTCTTGACATGTCTAAAACGCATTGAGCCGTGATAATCCCATACACTCTTACCAATTTTCGTTTGCTCGTATTTCTGTTAAAAAGCATTATTTTGGCTCAAAATTTCGCAATAATACTTTCATTTAGATGTTCTATCGAGGACAATAATAATATTTCTCTAATTTGGTCTCTAAATAGCATTTTTAGAATAATTATGAGCTTGGGCTACCTGTGGACAATTTGTGACTGATAAGCGACAATGAAAAAAAATAAGAAGCCCGAAATTTAAACTCTGGGTTCCACAGGAACCCCGAGTAAAAATGTGTTACCCACATGTTAATACATAATCAGTGTGAAAACCAAGACATTCGTACATGGGGATATTGCTATGCCGCAGAAAAAGAAATAATTACATGGGCTCCCTGTGGAAGCTCACGTCTAAAAATGCAAGTGGACTTTTCTTCGTCTTCGTCGTGAATATTTGGCTTCAAATTGGTAGCGGCTGCGTTGCAGATGGTCTGCAGTCTCAGTTTCCATGGGGATGTCAAACTAAACCAATCCGCGCTTACTTTCATTTTTCACATGTATCGTTTTGTACATCTGTCGGCGTCATTCTGTCTCGTGGGCTGCGATATCGTACACAGTGAAGCAATCTGATAAGAAAACATCAACCCCAGAACGCTGATCTCACTTACAAATGCACACGCTGTTTGTGGTAGACCCACAGCGTAATTTTCGGAACGGGCCGGTCCACGAACCCGATGTTCTTACTAGTTCTTACGAGATATCACATGATTCAAACGATCAAAATATTACTCAAAGAACGTACCATTTCTATTGTTTACATGGCCTTTCAGATCAAATTTCGATTTAAATCCAACTCGAAATTTGAATAATCTAGACGCTCTCTTAAAGCGTAAAGTCGGGCTAGCTATTTTGGAAAACTGAGAAAGACAGGAGAAGTTACTTAGAGTTCAGTTCAGTAAAAAATTACGTGATGTAGTAAATAATTCGAATTAACTTAATTCTGTCTTGACTTATTTCAAGCAAAGACTGTATGGTGAAAATGAAATACTTATAGCTCAATGGCGGCAGCTGACCCGGCATTGTCGCAGCTACAGGAAGGCCACGTAAGCGATCTATGATCGTCTAGTTCCTCTTTCGTTCTGACGGGTTCATAGTGTGCTATTTAATCATGCTTAACGGTGTCATCACATGTCATCACTGTTTTTGGGAAATTGTGTATTTCAACTCAGACATGTCCTCGCTCTTGGAAAAGAGGCAACATCAGTCCAATTTCGAAAATAAATCTGACGGACGTTGAGTTTCCGCGGTATAGATGTTACACGTCCAGTTATATCACCCGTTATGAAAAAAAAACCAGCTTTATAAGGAACATACTAAATCAGCTCTTGAACAGCACATATGCATGTGTCCATGCCAGTCAGCCGGCCTACAGGGAAGGAGGGAATTTACAGTTAACATTGCTAACTATTCAGCATAGCGTCTACACCGGACTTAGTCATTCAGACTGCCAGGCAGTGCGGCTTTACATGCCATGGATTTCAGTAAGTCTTTGACTCAAAGCTTGTTCATTGATAAACTAATCCGTTCATCACCAACAGCAAGTACATGAGCTTTCTTGAAAAAAGACTTCAGCGTGTAATTCACCATACCTTTAAAGGTCAATGGTTAACAAAGTAACCTGTCAGTGGAGTGTCAGTGGACCATACTATTTTAAAATGTCTTAGTGGATGACTCGGAAATGATACAAAATAATCGCACTCTCTTGTATAAGTATAACTCAACTACCTGTGCTCGAAATGGTTACCAGGAAATGCATGTATGCCTTCTCTGAATTGCTTTTATGTAATATTGTATTACAACTAAAGTATTTGAGAGGTAGATCATCTTATTAAAGGTTAAGAGCCGGCGATACATATTTTTTTACAAATCATCACTTTTGATGCTGCCATGACAACGTCAGACCCTTGTACAAAGGACCCTTCATATTAATCGATATCTCTAAAAACGTCTATAATGTTATATATATGGAAATATGATATTGCTTATCTTGTCACTGACAAAAAAATAAAAAATCCTGTAATGTAAATCCCTTAAAATTTCACAGAATGTAATGAAAAGTTTTTGGACAGACGGAATTTCATTTGTATCAACATCCATGAACTTCTTGAGAATTGCAAGAAAACAATTAATTCTGCTTGATCAAAGCGCAAGAAATCTGTCCGAGTTATATGTTATTCCCAAAGCCTAAATTACGAATATGCCTTACATAAGTTTAATCCAAATAAGTCAAAACGTACACATACACCTACTTGCGAAAACGTTGTCATAAAAAAATAGGACATTTGTATTTTAGTAAAAAGAAATAAATTAAAAAGACAAAAAAAGATTACTGAGGCTGAACGCTTTCTTTTGTTTTGTTTTAATTTATTCCTTTTTGCTAAATTCGAATGTTCTATTTTCTATGACAACGTTTCTGCAAGTAGGTGTATATATTATTATCATTATTGAATTTTTGGTTCAAATTTACAGGCTTGGACAAGTCAAGTATTGTGATTTACATCAAATACCAGAAAGACGGCCATTATCATCCTCTGATCATACCTAAAGGTTCAAAGCTTTGTGACATCGAGCAAATCTTTATGAAGATATTTGCCGACATCATACCTAAAGGAAGTAGATTCTCAGACTTCAAGTTTCAGTTGGTTCATGGTGAAACAATGGTCCCTATCAAGAACGACTACGAATTCCAACCAAACGATTGCTTGGTGGCGTCTTATCGGTCTGCAGTAAGTTCGTTAACATGACATTTATTATCATGTAAATGTTATACTTTTGAGCCCATGGCCAGAAATTCCGAGTATTGGGATAGCACGCCCTGATCCTTGAGTTCATTAGTGCCTTGTGAGGTGATCGTTTGGAATGTTCATAGTGTAGATAATATTATTTGCTGGAACACACGTTTCCCTCAGGTATTTTAAACAATGATCATCAGTTGATATTGTGATCTTTTGTTTATACGTGTACATTTCTAAGGAATTTAAAAGGTCTGACATTGTTTACACTAGACTTGATTGGCCTATCTTTCGTTCGTATTTCCCGCTATCTGCGCT